ACTCCGCAGACATACTGCTGTGTCACTGGGGGGGGGCAGCAGTGGAAGACTAGAAAAGTAACATCTATTCATCACCATCCACCGCCAACTTTTGGGCTACTCTCTTACCAACAAATAGTGGGATTGACCGTAACATCATAACGTCGCCACGGCTGAAAGGGCGAGCATATTTGACGGGACGGGGATTCGAACCTGCGACCACAAGATGTTAAGTCTCTTTGTTGTGATTTATGAAATGTTTGGTGACAAGAATCAGTCAAGTGCCTAGTCTTCATATTCATCTTTCAACTGGCCGTGTTTAACATAAGGAATATTTACTGTGCCCTAGTAGTGTTTGTAATTATTTTATTGCTTGTCATTCAGGTTCTATTTAGGCTTAGCGGTATGGTTTGATACAATTTGATCGATTTTACGAGTTATATGATGCTCTTCTTCACGAGTAGCGAGCGTATCCTCGACACCCTTAATGACGTCAACTGTTGGAATATTTAAAAGAGACAGGGTCATGATGACCCTTATGTAACTAATGTAAGGTGAAATTTAATTATTTTTCATTTGCGAGTTTTTTTATTGCTTCACTATTTATTACCGTTAAAATTATATTGTTCATTTAGTTCTTGCTTAAATATATCGGATAGGCTATTTTAATTGGAGATCTGTAGAATATTTTTAAAGGTACTAAGAAGAAAAGTGGGTTTAATTTGTTTTTAGATTAATCAGTGAGTTAGTTAATTAGTTGGTGTTGACATAAAGCTTTGTTTCCAAATGTTTTAGCATGTTCGTTGAATATGTATGCATTACACAGCGTTTCTTATGTGAATGCTATTATAATTAGTTGTTTTTTCAGCCCAGGAGTTTCTGATATTATTTTAAACGTTTAGCATTTACAGGTTTTTTCATAGAGAGATGTGCATAAATCCGGCTGAATTTTCGGTATTATAATCCTCACACAAAGATAATCTGAGTCCGGCAAGTCTACATTATTACTATTTTTAGAAAGATGTCATCAGTCAACCAGCACCATAGTATTAATATTCGTACAAAGAGTTCATCAATTGAATAAAATAAATAATAAAAGAGTTTATACAGAGACGTCATCAATCAACCAGTGTACAGTATTAGTCTCTTTAGAGAGATTTAATTCGAACAAAGTCTACAATATTATATTTTATGGAGATATATTGTGGTCAATCAGTATACAGTATTAGTCTTTGTAGAAATGTTTCTTTTGTCGAACGAGGCTTACAGAATTAAACATTATACAGATAAATAAATCATCAGTCAAACAGTGTACAGTATTATTCTTTGTACAGAGATCTCATGTCAAATAAAAGGTCTACAATATTTGACTTCCTATTTCGTTTGTTTGTTTGCTTGTAATTAAGCACAAAGCTACACAATGGGCTATCAGTGCTCTGCCCACCACGGGTATCGAAACACGGATTCTAGAGTTGTAAGTCCGCAGACATACCGCTGTGCCACTGGGGGGCTCCTATTTTGTATTTTAATAATGTGGACGTATAAAACATCATTTTTCGGAACTTACTTAGTAATATTTATTTATATATAAAGTAAGACATTGTTTAATGAAATATTCTGGCCCTAAGTCACGTTTTAGACAGATTTTACTTCTTGGGTATTAAGTTATTTGCTGGTCGACTTCTTAAAGAATTACATAACTATCGTTTACTTTCTAATACCATAAAGTGATTAATGATTAATTACTGCCGAAATGCTCGTATCAGTATTGTCACGTAGTAAAGGAACACTTAATTTCTCTTGCTGGATCTTCTTATTGGACAAACAACAAAAAGAAAGACAACAGAGATAAACATTTGATGATATATCTAATGCAGCATTTAAAACTTCTCTTTCTAAGTATGACATAACTGATCTAGTACACGTCAAGAATTTAGAATTTTTCTACACAGTAAACAGATTAGTTTTAGTTTCTGTAGAATAGTTTGTATTTTAGAAGTTGAGCTAAATTAAGTCTGAGTTTGTATTTTAGTAGTTGAGCTAAATTAAGTCTGAGTTTGTATTTTAGGAGTTGAGCTAAATTAAGTCTGAGTTTGTATTTTAGGAGTTGAGCTAAATTAAGTCTGAGTTTGTATTTTAGTAGTTGAGCTAAATTAAGTCTGAGTTTGTATTTTAGGAGTTGAGCTAAATTAAGTCTGAGTTTGTATTTTAGGAGTTGAGCTAAATTAAGTCTGAGTTTGTATTTTAGGAGTTGAGCTAAATTAAGTCGGAGTACAGAAAAATCAGGACATACTCTCAATAAGGTACAGTTTTGTCATGATTAGTAAATTGTGTGTTTTCAGTAAGTATATGAGAGTATCCATAAAGAAAACATTAGATTCAAACTTTAAGGAACGATTTCATTTTCGCTCCTCACAGAGAAGATATTCACAGCATAAAATTTACCCAAACAATAAGATTAACATTTTCAACAAAACTATGAACATAAATACTCAAATGAATTATAGCTATAGGTATCTGAATGATTATTTTGAAGTTCATTTTCAGACTATTACTTAAGTTTCAACCAAGGATGAGATAACAAAGTTTGATGTATTCATAAGGTTTATTTGTTTTGAATTTCGCGCAAAGCTACAGGAGGGCTATCTGGCCATGTTGCCGTTACTTCTTGGCGGTCTTATATACAAGAATACCGCACATCTAGTAAACACTCGAACATTCA